CTTGCCTTTGAAAAAGCCCCAGAACCCAGCCCTTGATGGGCTTCCAGCACTGGGATGGCCTGTCACATCCCTGGCCTCCCCATCATTCCTCCTCCAGTGCTCTTGGGGGAACGGCTCACGTCACCTTGACTTTCAGCAGGTAGGAAGGGTGCCTGTCCCCCTGCTTCCCTGCACTATGTCGTGCTCATGAAATCACCTGCAGCTGGTGCGTCCCCAGTGGCGAGGACAGCTGCGGTGCGGAGGTGTCCCCAGGAGATGTTTGGGGTCACCCCCTGGTGCTGCGGAGGCTGCTGGAAGCTGCGTCTGGTCACAGGGTTAGTGGTTAATCCACCGTCTTCTGCCGCTGCCGGGTGAGTGGGAGCCAGTCACGGATGAGGCAGCGGGTGATGGGAGCTTGGGGTGGGCTGGCAGGGCGAGCACCTCAGTCTCCTCGTTGGCCACCTAAGCAAAATAAGAGGAACGGTGAAGCTCTGAGAGAGGATTTTCCCAAGCACGTTGGCATTTCCCCTGGGACTGTCTGGGGAGGTTAAAGGCAGTGCATGAGCAATGATGAGGTTACTATCAGCTGTCCCCCTCACTTGGCTATCCTCTTGGGGAGGAAGGAAAAGCCTTTTCCCCCCAAAACATGTGCTCTCCCTCACCCCACTGAATTCCGTTAGTGTGCCTCAGTTGCCCTACCAGCAGCTTTGCCAGACCCGTGCCACAATGCAGGCTGAGGATTTCCCTCCCAGGCAGCACGTTTCCGGAGTGGTGCCCTGCCTGGCTATGCAGGCTCCTGGGGTGAGGAACCTCTCCCTCCTTTTTGCTATTCAGATGAACCCTTGCGGGGAGAGTGAGGCCTGGGAACCGTGTGCATCTTGGGGAGGAGCGGTGGTGGGAAGGAACAAATGCAATATTTGTACATTGGTTTGTTTGTCCTCTGGCTGGGTCCCCGGGTGCTGGGCAGACATGTCGGAGCAGCAGGGAGACAGGGGTGCTGGCAGGGCAGCTGCTTTGTAGGCAGGGGAAACTGAGGCACGGCAAGGGAGGTGATTGCTCAAGGTCGGAGGAGACGGCAGGATGGGTCCCTGCACTCAGGGGGTTCCTGGAGGCGCTTTGGGGCAGGCGGGGAAGCAGCAGCTGGGTGCACGACAGCAGGGCGATGACCTCCCATGTCCGGAGAGGACACTCCGATCAGCAGATTCCTCACTGATGTGTGTGGCAAGAGGGAGAGGGCGGGTTGGGGAAAGGAGAGGATTTGGGACATGGGGCACCTCAGAGCATCAGTGGTCCAGGTGCCCACCTGGGGACACGTCCCTCCCTGGGCTCAGTCCCCACTCAGAGGCCAGGGGAACACGATGGAGCTGGGTCCCTTCAGCAGGGCTGGCTGCGGACGGCAGCATGCCAAGAGGTGACGCAGGAGCCTCGCATCCCTTGGTCCATGTGTGCTGGGCCCCCATCGCTGCGTGGCTCCATCCATCTCCCCCTGCCACGCTGCCTGCCTCCCTGGCCTGTCCCCAGGTCACCTAGAAGCAGTCAGGTGGTGCCAGGGTGGCAAAGCTTCTGGTGAGAGGGAGCCCTGGACATGAAGTTGCTTTCCTGGCTGGCTACATGTATTTTTGCCTTGCCCTGGCCTTGTTTGCTCACCAGGGGCCCCTCTTATCTGCCAGGGGTTAATGCCTGGGGAAGGGAAAACAAACCTCCCCTGGCAGCTCCCAGCACCATTGGCTGCCTCCTGGGGTGGCAGTGGCCGGTGGCAGTGGGACGGTGGCAGGTTTGGCTTCCTGCTGGCCCCCAGCTTCCTGGCTCACGCAGCCCATGTCTGCCTCCGCTCACGGAGGTCGTGTGGTGCTGCCTCGCGGCCGGGACGGGCCAGGCACATGGCAGATTTGGGGTGGGAGGACAACCAGGGAACAATTTCCTCTCTCTGGCAGAAGCCCACCCATAGCTACTGGGTCAGGGCTCTCCTGGAGTGCAAGGAAACCACTGGGGTGGTCCCTGCAACACAACGGGGGTCTGGGGACCACAGGGAGAGAGATGTGGCCCCATTTTTGAGCTGTCCCTGGGTTCCCCAGGAAGATGCATGACCCTGGCAGAGAGTATTAGGCAAGTTTATAGCCCTCGAGTTTTCCTTTCCCTCTGCACATTGGAGCCCCTGAGAAACCCAGTGTGGGGACTTTGCCCTTCAGCCTGTGCTGCACCAGGCAGGGCTACTCTGAGGGGTGGACGCCCCCACCCCACCTCAGGTCCTCCACACAGCAGAGCTGCCCTGCAGACCCCTGCAGGGGACCCAGGCTGGCATCACACTGGGGACAGGGTGGGGAGGCAAGGGAAGGGGGAATGCGGGAGGAGAGCATCCTCTTGCTCCCTGCCTGGAGAATTATTGAGCGGGGAGCCGGGAGGAGGAAAGTGTTTCTCCTTCCTTGTCCCTTGGCCACTACGGGGACGCAAGCCAGCACCTCCTGGCCCCGGGCGCTCCCTGCCTGCTGGCAGGCAGCAGGCATTGCGAGAGGAGGAAGGGAGGGAGGGAGGCAGCTGGTGCCCAGCCCTACCTGGATGGCAGGTTTTTAGCAGGCCTGCTGGGATTTTTCTTCGTCCAATCTCCCAGTTTTTCCTCCTTCCCTCTGCCCCTGGTGCGTCTCCGCGCTGGCTGTGCCCCTTTGAGCCCTCCCCTCCGCCCAAGCAGACTCCTCCACACCAGAGAAACTCGTGATTCTGTGGGCAAAAGGTGACCCGTGTGCTCTCCTTTCATCCAGTGAGCAAGGGGACCCCCCATCTGGCCACCCGTCCATCTGGACACTGCTTCCGTCCGGCAGCCCGGCCCGTTCACCACACTCTGGGCCCGCCCCACAGCCTGTCCTGACCTCCCCTTCCCCGGCATCCTCTCCCTGGCTCCCTCCTCACCTCCTCTGGGAAGCCCCCTGCCCTCAAAGACCAACCGCAGGCACCTCCTCCTCCTCCCAGCCTGGCCTCCCCGTTTCCCCCCGGAGTTCAGCTGGTTTCCACTGGTTTTCCACTCGCCAGGAATGGCCAGAGCTTTTCTGC